ACATAAGTGTTCTTTGTGCCCTCAGGCCCAGAGACACAGTGTACCTTTTCTTCAAAATGCTCCTTCTACCAAAAGACCTGTGAGTGGCTATTCAGTTGCAAGGAATAAATCTCTTGAGTCCTGTCCCTATATTCCAGGAAGAGAAATTGAGTCATTTAGTCCTTTGAGTATCCACTCCTCCTAACCTGCTCAACTAGGAGGACTTCCAGGAATTTGACCAGGTTTGTGTTTCCCCAGGATATTTACTCTACTTTTAAAGGCTGATCACAAAGAGATGCCACAACTCCTTTGGCCTGAGTGTTCTGCGTAACCAGAGTGGTGTTTAAAAGCCACCGGAGAAGCTCAGGCACCCATATGAGAAAGCAAGGACTTTGCCCAGAAGCAAACCTCCCATAGGCAGGTGCTGCTGCACGGTGCCCAAGGGTGCTGCGCTGGGTGGGTGGGCGTCCTCTAGGTGGTGACCTGCCAGATTCCAACTGGCGGGCTTTTCTTTCATATTCATTTAGAAAGTGGGCTTCATGGTAGGAGGGGGCTCTCAGAGCAGTGATTACTTTGAATTCATAGATAACTGGTCTTTGTCTTCTCCCCTGACCCTCTGTGTGTAGAAGCCGGCCGGTGTTGATCCTCTGAGTGTGTCTCATCTGATCGGTGGGTTGGAGGGTACTTGAGAGCCTGGTAGGGAGATCCAGGAACCTCTCTCTCTGTGTCTCACTCTCTCTCTCTTTTTGATCCTGGGCGTGGAACCCAGGGCTTCACACATGYGTAGGAGTGTGCCACTCTCCCAGCCAGAAGCACCTCTTTTTGCCCCTCTCTGACTCTGCGGGAGGAACAGCCTGTACTCCACCGAGCACTTCAATGGAGCGTTGCTGAGTCCAAGACTCCAGACGGACGTACTAGAAGCAGTTAATAACGGGTTGGGATATGAGACCAGAAGCAGTCTGCTTTTCAGGAGATGTGTAGGCATCCTATATGCAGGATGGTCAGGAAATGGAAGTGGTGGTCAGCAGACATAGCTAAAAGAACTGTCACGGTCCCCTCTGGGGCTCCTCGTCCTTTTGGGGTGTGTTTTCTGCTCTTCACTTTCCCTCTCTGTGCGCCGTGCTGTTCTGTGCTGGGTCTAGGTTTTACATTGTGTTCGCTCTTAACTTGGCCTGCGTTCCGTGGTGGACAGTCTTTCTGGGAGGGGAAAGCCAGCTCTGAGTTGTCATGCGTGCCACTTCCTAGGGTGTAAATGCTGCCACTGCGGCGGACCTCCAGCTGCCAGTGTGCTGTGCTGTGACGGAAGGTGGAGGTGGGGAGAGCCGGGTGGCCTCTGTGAGCTGCCTGGAGCCTTCCTCAGGAGGGGACAGCTGGCGTCCTMGCTCTGTTTCCTCTGTGTGGCCGCCCCAGGCTGCTTCCTCAGGGCTTTTCTTTAAAATCTCTGTTTCTATGGTGCTTCAGATAAGGCAGCCAGTCTCTGTGCTCCACCTTGGCTTGCGCCATCTGCTTCGTTCAGTGATTAAGAGGGACTCATCCTACTCTCCGATTTCAAAGTTGGTGAAATGGGGAAAGTTCATTGTGGATGCTTGGATTCAAGATTTCCTGTACGTAACTACGAAATAGTCCTCATCTCCACCCGGAGCTGCTCACAGCTACTTGTTAATGATTTCATTTTTGTCATCGTCTTGTGGGATGCACTGCATGTATTTGAATCACTTGTTTTCCTTTCCTTTTTTTCTTTCTTCCCTTTCTTTTTCTTTTTTGGCATTGTACGTGTTTTGAACAGCTCTTTCCCTTTTCACACTGTGACGCGTCTGAGGAGGGAAGTCGCTGTTTTTCTATTTCATATGTCCAGGGTTTTTTAATCAGTCACTTGTTGAAGGAACAGTGAAAACGAGGCACGTCAGTTTTCGGTCATATAATCCCAAGAGGTCATGCCTGAAGAAGACATTAGGAATAATCCAAGTTAAAGTGAGAGTTGAGCCCAGTGATGGCGTGAGTCCTGTAAGGAAAACGTGGCAGAACCTGGGACTAAGTCTTGGATCCCGTCCACGCACTGGAGCGAAGGAAGCAGGGCAGAGGGATAAAGAGGTTGCGTGTTGAAGTGCTTCATGTAAAGTTTCATGTTTTGCTAAGTTGATGTCTTTCCAAATGTGAGAGCCCTAGTCAAAGTGGGTAGAAGTCCATGGTCCCCGACGCGTCGTAGCATACTCCTAACACCAGGACTGCTGTTGGGCAGCTGTAGTGTGCTTTGGCCATCGTGGATGAGAGCACTGGGGCGGGGGGGTGTGTGGAAAAATAAGTCCTACTGCGAGGCAATTCAGGATGATGTGAGTGTATTGTTATAGCCAGCCGTTTGCAGAGTATGTCCATGCTCTTAAAACCACCAGAAGCTACCGTTTTAAATCAATAGGTAGCAGTTCATTACCATGTCAGCAACTGGAGCCCACAAATAAAATAAGAAACAGCTCTTGCTACTAACTAAAGAGAGAAAGGCCATCTCCGAGAAGTGACTGGAGAATAGCAATTAACAAGATGCGGATCTGTGACCCCAAATCAAGGCAGCACATAATAGAAGTAGGTTCTTTAAGAACAAATTTAAGACTTGATAAAGAAGAAAGGGGCTTTTTAGTGAAGAGGGAAAGCACAGAATAAGAATTGTGTATGTRGAGAAGAATGTGAGACACAGGGGAGATTTGTGTTATAAAAGGTGATATGGGGCTGGGGATATAGCTGGCTCAGTTGTTAGAGTGCTTGCCTTGCAGGCACAAGTCCCTGGGGTCAATCCCCAGTACCACCAAAACAAAAATAAGGTAAATATATTCCTAGGGGATAGCTGAATTCCAGGATTATTTATGAGTTCATTGCCCATATGCCATATTGAAAATGGTTTTATAAAATCAGTTTTTTCAAAAGTATATAAGTAATGTTAGTATCTTTAATATTTTTTCAGGTTAATAAACAGAGTAAAGGATTACCTCTTCTCTGTATTCCTGACCTTTATTTGAGGGTAACTGCTAATATGTTTCTTCAACATTCTTATGAAGATATTTCACTGTATACATATTTTATCAATATGGCTCATTTATATTCTGCAGTCTGCTTTGTTTTCACTAAATGTATCTTAGAGGTCTTTCTGTATTGTCATATTGATTTATCTTATTTTTTCACTCTATGTACCAGTACCAAAAAATTTTTTTTAAAAATGCACCTCAGGGTGTGTGATGCACGACTCCGTGAGGAAGCCTGTCGTGTTCCCTTCCCCCACCCTCTACCCGCCTTTGCACAGACCTTTATGTATCGTTGTCAGCAGGGAAAATACAGAAGATCACTGTTTTCTGGGCTCTGGGTCTCCCTTGCTTTGCACGGGACTGTGTGCCACAGCTGTCCTTAACGTCCTTTATGGCAACTCATCAAAGTCTGTGATGGCCCCTTTATTGTTTGTGCTTCTCTTGTGCCACCTTGGGTACCTGAACGCTAGGCTGAGAGCAGCCAGGGGAACCTCTGCCCAGTAACTATCATTAATTGGCTTTTCGAGGCTGAACCGCACCCTTGCATCTGTTGAAGTGATCGCTAGAGGTGCCATCCGTCCTGACRTCCTGTGTCAKTCTGTCCACGACTCAACTTTCCTTTATCCCTTCTTTTCCTCTGACAGGGCTGGGATGTTACTCGGTGGTAAASTACTTGCCTAGTATATGTGGTGAGACCCTGGTTCAATTCTTAGCACCACAAACACCAAACAAAACAAATAAACAARACCTTTGATGAATGACRAGTAGATCTGTGATGTGSAAGTCCTTACCTCTAGGTCCCACTCCACCTTCCACTCCCTGGGCTTAGTGTCAGTAAAGCAATTATAGAACAGTTTGGAAGCAAAGGCCATGATCTTGGATCCCATGTATGTCACTCCTCCCTTGGCTTCCTGAAGTTTGGGGGTATTAGAGGGTCCRTCTCTCCTGGAGTCTGAGAGTCTTTGAATAGTGGGATCCCTCCTTCTGATGATATTTGTGTCGAGGGTCCATCATTCACCAGTACCATCCCCCAGAATGATCAGATGAACCTCTCTATTTAAGGATGTTATTTTGAAATGAAAACTTGTAATAACGATAGATTGAATTTTTTCATTTTCTAGGTAAGACATCAATGGAGACAATGTTTATTGGAATATTTCACATTTTCCATCTTCCCCAATGTTGAATTTGTGAAATTATTAACTTTAAAAACTAAACTCCTACTTTTAATGCCTTCGTTTTCTTTCTGCACCACCCTCTGGATTTYTTTGTCTCATGTATATAGATTTCTAGGAATCACAAGCCTTAGGAGTTTTAAACTAGAATCTCATCAGTTTGATGTCTACCAAAGGTGTTGGTTCAGAGGAAAAAGGGCTGTGCTGTCTCTCAAGTGGCCTCGTTTTCCGCAYRGTCTGTTTCCTRAAAGGTCGTATCATACAAGGAGAAYGTGGAGTCTGTGATTGAAAGAAAGGAAAAACTTAGCAAGTTTTGTAGACACTTAATGGATGGTTGTTCATCTCCCACCCATCTTTCCTCCTGTGGAATAGGGTACCATTCCTAGCCAGTGTTACAGGATGGGCTACCATCTATGGTCTGTAAAAGTYCCTGCCTCCTGGAACTTGTGGGTCCTTTACACATTGTCCCCTATGAGCACGTTGGTAGAACAGCAGAAGGCCCAACTGTCAGGAAACCTGACTTCCTGGCTAGGCCGCAGCAGATGAGGGAAGAAATACTCTAGGGTTGCAAACACTGGTTAGAGAGAAGACCCTTGATTTGTTCGTGGAGGCAGTGGTACCCTATTCCATCAGTACCTACCTTGAGAAACGTGGGCAACCTCGTGGAGGTAAGTTTAGACCCATTATGAAGACTGACCATGGAAGTCGTCCCCTCTGGTTCTATTATACTTCCGTGGGTGTTGGTCTGTAAAAGAGGGTAAGCGAAGGGTAGAGAGCCTCCATCTGGGATCAGGGACAGGCAGAAGCAACAGGTGTTTCTTTCTTTATGTTTTAGAAGTTCACCTGGACCCCCACCGAACGTGGTGTCCTGTTGCAGACTGTCAGACAGTGTGCCCCGTTGCAGCAAGTGACCCAGGACAGCCGGTGCTGGTGGAATGCCCTTCCTGCCACCTGAAATTCTGCTCATGTTGCAAGGATGCGTGGCACGCCGGGGTCTCCTGCAGGGACAGCCAGCCCATCGTCCTGCCAGCCGAGCACGGGTAAGGAAGGGACTGTCTGAGATTATCCAATATGGGTTCCCTGGGAGCAGGGGTGATCATAATGGCATTCAGAGACTTGTTATTTTCTTATACAATATCCCTGAGCAGTGTGTCAGAGTTGGTAAATCGGTAACATAGAATAACGACAAAAGCATTTCTAAAAGGGATTTTAGTTACTTGTCCCAAAAGAATCTTCCAGATATGGTGAGACTAGAGCTTGTGTCAATTTAGCTTTCTCTTGGGTAGAGAGGCTCCATGCTCCAGGGTTCTCAGTAGAAGGTGTGACTTGTCCACAGCCATCTGCTTGGGTGCCACATCTGCCTGCTCGTTGGGGTAGCTTGTTCTTTCTATGTGCAGAATGAGACAGATTATTTTCTGACCTGATGAAGTCGCCAGCTCCTGAGGTGTGCCCATCAGAGCAGAGAGAGCCTAGCAGTACAGTACCAGTCCTGAATTCTTGGGAAATGTAGGAAGAGAGCTTCTCCTAGCTCTTTATTCTCTGAAAAGATGGAGCCGAGATGAAGATTTTGTTATGACGAGAAGCTGTGAAATCAGCACCTTTTCGTTTGGAAGGTTCTTTGTGGCAGCAGCAGGATCCTGAGTGAGAGACCTTTATGTTGGATCCTTGCTTGGCTTGAGGCTGTGGCTGCTCTGCATTGGCAAGAACAAAATGCCAGTGTTCTGGGCCAGTTGGCATCGTCACCCCGGGCCCTCCGAGCGTGCAGACCAGTCTTCAGGAAGGGTAATGCTGCCTGGAGGTGCAGACGAGGGGAAAACAKACCTACACACACAGCAGGCACCAGCTCCTTATCCAGGTTCAGGGCCCTGGCCTCCCAGGCAACGTGAAGAACTGCAGGAGAGGATGCCTGAGTTCTGACAGTGTCACTTGGCATCTGAGTGTCCTTACACAGACACTCTTCCTGAGTCTCTTTCTCCACTAGCAAAACAGGTATGAGAATAGAAACTGTCCCCCACACCCCTATGTAAGGCTCTTGCAGGTACCAAATCTGGTCATAGAGTGGGCAGCACTCTGTGACCGAGATGCCCCTGGGCAGGGAGGTGGTCTTGAAAAACAAGACCAAAATGTAACCTGGAGCTCTGGCCCCTCCCTCCCACCAGTTGGTTCCACTTCTTGTTTTCTGTGCCCCTTAGGCTGTGAGCCCGTACTGGCCTATTCATCTAATATCTTACGGTATTGATTATTGAACCCCACTCCTCCATTTATCGAATGAGCAGATCACTAGATGGACAATGCACGCCCCATTTGGACCCTGAGCCAGTTTCTCTCTGCTGTAGCTCACTCCTCCTATTTATTATTCAGTGCGCTCAGGAAATGAAATATTAATTGGACAAAGCAATGAGTTAAATCAGCTGTGGAAAGTGTAATTACATAATTGACCGAAAGCCAAAGTAAATATTCTTTCTTATTTTGAGTTATCTGAACAACTAATAATCTGTTTCTCCTATTTTTATCCCCACCATTTTTTGTTTTGTTTTGTTTTTGAAAGTGGATTTTAAGCACAGGTAACTGAGAGCTGGGAAATCAGTCGATGGCCATCAGTTGAATTCAGCTTTCCCTCTATTTTGTTTCTAGGGCCCTCTTTGGGACAGATGCAGAAGCCCCCATTAAGCAGTGCCCAGTGTGCCGAGTTTATATCGAACGCAACGAAGGCTGTGCCCAGATGATGTGCAAGAACTGCAAGCACACGTTTTGCTGGTACTGCCTGCAGAACCTGGACGTAAGTTTCCATCTGAAGAGGCCAGTGTGGTCTTCCCTGCACTGTGTCTGCGCCACAGCATCTGTCCACAGCTGCGCCTTTAAAAGGTTGAATGTTGAGCCTATGTTGTCCTGAAAAAGGTCTTTATTTTTCTTAATGAGACTTCCTAGCCTGCCACATTATTTTTCTTCTTCTTTCTTTTTTTGTTTTTTTGGCTGTGCTGGGGATCAAACTCAGGCCCTTAAGCTATACAGGCCACTCCCCTCCTACCTGAGATTACTGTAAACCCTTCTTTAGCTACCGTAGCTTTAAAAAAAAAAAGCTTCTGTTTTAGTGGCATTTCTTTCTTGCTTTCTGACCATTTTCTCACTCTAGTTTGTGGGGCCTATTAGTGTATTAGCTTTGTATTGCTGTTGTAACAGATAATCACAAATCATCATAAATTTAGTGGCTCAGGACAACACAAGTGCATTATTTTGTATTTCTGTACATTAGAAGTCCAGCTCAGATCTTATTGGGTTATAATCAAGGTCGCAGAGGAGAATCGTTTCCTTTCACTTTCTACCTTCTAGAGGATGCGTACATTGCAAGGTCGATGACCCCCTTTCTCCATCTTCAAAGCCAGTGACAGCACATCTCTCTGCTCCTCATTCCATAGTTGCTGTGCCCTCTGACCACAGCTGGGCGATTCTCTGCCTTTAAAGACCTATGTGATTAGATTGGGCTCATTTGTATTATTCTGGATCGTCTCCTCCTCCTCAAGGTCCTTGATTGAATCACACTTGCCAAGGCCTGTGAGCCATTTATGATAACATATTCACAGATGCTATGGCTTGGGCTATGCAGGTCTTTGGGGACACTTGTTCTGTCTACTGTAATTAGATGATTTTCCTCTGTTTGAATTTAAGGRAAACAAGAGTCCAGATCAGTGGCTCCTCTTAAGGAGCTCTTGTTCAGCGGCACGGCAGCAGTATTGGTTGTGTTTTGTCCCTGTTCCTTTCTGGCTCTGGGGACTTGCCTCGTCACGGTTTCCTCTTGCCATTCATGTGGCCTGTCTTCTCAGCTCCAGCTGCAGTGCCTTCAGCCTTGTGCCAAGGTGCCTGGTCACCTCAGGGTYGACAGTCTTACTCTGATTCTAGTCTTTCAGAGTCGGGGCAGCAGAGAATGTCTGTAGATTTTCCCTCCGTGGGCAGTTTGGACCTATAATATGAGACCAAATCAGTACAAGCCCTCCATCATGGCTGGGTGGCCATTCTTTCTCAGCTCTCGGTTTTGTTGCTTGGTTTGCTTTAATTCAACAGGCAATTTCTCTCTGTGAGTGAGAGTGCAGGTAAGAGGGCCGCAGTGTGTGGGTGTTTAGCCACAGTGTGGCTGGGTTCAGTCCCCAAGGCAGCTGGGCCCGGGAKACTCTCTTCAGGAGTCAAGACTCTCAGGAACTAAATGAGTGCTCCGGATCTCTGTCCCGAGGCCGAGAGACTCTGTGGGAGGCTGTGGAGAACACTGTGTTCTGTCACGATGCCGCTGGTCCTCCTCGAGATGAAATGGGACAGATGTGAAATGGCTGAGCACACAGATTTTAAGTGTTGAAGCATCTTTTTTGTCTCTGAGTTCTGAGATCCATTTGCTCTGTTTTGGCCCAAGGCATTGGCTGGTCAGTGACCGTGTTTTCTCCAGGCAACTCTTGTGGGTCACATGACGGTGTTGATGTCTGTGTGTGTGAAAGTTGAGAGGCTGGGGCCGGGAGAAGGGGCCCTGAGTCTGTCTGCCCCAGAGATTTTGAGTGAACTGGGGCAGGCACTGAGTTTGTTCCTGCCTTGACCTTCATCCCTGCAGTTTCAGAGGCTGAAATGTTATTTTTTGGGGGGTGGGGGGTTTTGCTCCAGGGATTGAACTCAGGGGCATTGACCACTGAGCCACATCCCCAGCCCTACTTTGTATTTTATTTGGAGACAGAGTCTCACTGAGCTGCTTAGTGCCTCGCTGCTGCTGAGGCTGGCTTTGAACTCACRCTCCTCCTGCCTCAGCCTTTCCAGCCGCTGAGATTGCAGGCGTTTGGCTCTGCGCCGAGCTGAAATGATAACAGTCTGCTTGGGAATCCTGTTCCCATGGGTGGCCTCAGAGACTCCCCCTTTGGTTATCTCTCCTCTGTGCTGGGTCTTGAACTTCCTCTCTCTACTCTTTCCATGTCCAGCTGTGCCACCCTGCACCGTGTCAAAACCAGCCTTCCCTCCAGCCTGCCCTCTGCTTCTCTCCAGCCTGGTCGCCCCTTGCTGCTGGCCTTACTCACCCCAGGCAGGGCAGCGTGCAGGGCAGTGTGCTCACACTGTGTTCTTTCCAGGGTTCTGAGTGACTTCTTCTTGGTAGAGCCCAGTGGAGACTTAAGATTTGCACATTCAATACTAGGCCGCCTCCGCTGCAGCTACCATCCCCACTGGCTCCCTCCTCCTCTTCTGGCCGAGTCCTGGTCCCCTTCCAGGCTCTTCCTTGATCCACTGTTAAGGGTGTGATGGGCAGCGTCTTGCTGTCAGCGGTGCTCTCCCTGGGCACGCTCATTCACATCCGTGATTCCTTCCACCCCATGTACTCGGATGCCCAGGTCCCCCTGCCCAAGCCAGATCTCTGGACTGAGCTGCCCTTTGGACAGTACTGCCCGGATGTCTCCCCTGTCTGCAGGTTCAGCATCACTTGCAAACCATGATCATCGTCTTTCCCCCAGAGCATCTCTGCGTTGTCACATTTCATGTCTTCTTCAACCCCTTCTCTGTGGCTGTGTCTCCTGCTGCCCCCTCTAGTTGAGACCTTTCTCCGTCTGGCCTTCTCCAGGGCATTTCCCTCTCCACCTCTGCTAATGCTCTCGATGACCTTCCCAAGTCATTGACCAACTCATCCCCCTTTTTTTGTAGAGCCAGTCAAGAGTCTCATTGACTAGGATCTCTTTTCCCTGGGCGATTTATAAAACTACCTTGATGAGTGAAAGATGGCAGGCTGGGAGTTCCTAGAGGAGGGTCTTCGTGTCACCCGGTGACTGGTGTGGTTTCTGTCCTCCTCTCTCTCAATTTGAACTGCGTGTTCCTGAAACCCTCCCTTTGTTTTCCAGAATGACATTTTCCTCAGACACTATGACAAAGGACCATGCAGGAATAAGCTGGGCCACTCGAGAGCCTCAGTGATGTGGAACCGCACACAGGTAGTCTGACCTTGGAAGGAAGTGACAGAAACCAGGCTGGTGAAGGCTTAGGGGGCCGGCCTCTTTGTCCCCTACGCTATTCCTTCCTTACCCATGCTGGCCCGGGAGGGGCTGGGGGGTTCTGGGGCAGGGAGAGGCCAGAGGTGGGGGCAGCTGCCTGAGGATAAGTCATGAGCCAGACAGGCTCCGCGAGGACCCGTGAAGGGGCCGAGGCACCAGAGAGTCACACAGTCCCAGAGCCCCACAGAACGCGGTGGGTGTTCTGGAACACGGGAGAGGTCTTTCCTCAGACCCTGTGGGCACATTAGCTATCAAAGGCCACGCTCTAAAGTCGTGCTAGCCCTGCTAGGACTGAGGTCCTTCTGTGCAGGCCACCGTGTGTTCAGTGGAGGTTCCCAGGGAGCCATGGTTCATTTTCATAGCTTTTATATTTATCAAAGTCTTTGCTCCTTTTGGTGGAGTTGATGCTAACATCCTGCTGATCATTATTAACTCCACTATGAGACCCTGGAGGAAACTCAGGTGGAGAACAAGCTGATGCCTACAGTTCACAGTTCTGTTGAGCTTGCAGTTAACTCTGGTTAGCACTCAAGGGTTGGTCCTCACCCTGGACTTAGTCCATTTTATTTTTTTAGTTTATGTCCAGCTCAGACCATTGCTGAACACTGGCTGAAGTTCCCATAAATGTAACTATCTCTTGTGCCTGAGATGATATCTTAGTCTTTCGGGCTACTATAACATATGTTCATAAGCTGGGTGACTTAAACAAAAATTTACTTCTCACAGTTTTGGAGTCTGGGAAGTCTAAGCTCTTGGTGCCAACATGGTCAGATTCTGGTGAGGGTTCTCTTCCTGACTCACAGAGGGCCACATTCTTGCCATGTCCTCATGTGACACACACAGAGAGGGAGATAAGAAGAAGCAAGTTCTGTGGTCTCTCTTCTTATAAGGACACTAATCCCATCACGAGAGTTCCACCTAAATGACACCCAGAAGCCCCATCACCAAGTATTATCACCCTGGGGATTAGAGTATCAACGTACAGATCTGTCGTTGGGGGGACACAAGCTTTCAGTCCATAGGAAATGGTGCAGTTGAAGTGCTGATGTCAGCTTTCTTTTCAACTTCCAGGTGGTGGGAATTCTGGTGGGATTGGGCATCATCGCCTTGGTGACGTCGCCATTGTTACTTCTGGCCTCCCCGTGCATAATCTGCTGTGTCTGCAAGTCCTGTCGGGGCAAGAAGAAAAAGCACGACCCGTCTACAACCTAAGATGATCTCTGCGTGCACGTGCCACAAACGTCTGGGTTACCTGAGACAGCACAGCGCTAAAGCCCCACTTAGTGATCTTGCCTCCTTCCCCTTGCCAAACTTTGGAAGTGCCTCTGTGTCCAGACTTTGAACTTGCCTTCCAGCCTCAGCATCAGAAGAGGCTGAGTCAGTCCTGGGTGCCAGTGTTCCAGTGTCACCAGAGCTGCCACCGCCGCCCCAGGCTGTGCCCGCGGAGCACGTGGGGAGCGTTGGGGTTGCTCGGGAGGAACTAACCAACCATTCTATCATCTGGACGATCCCACTGGACTGTTCATCTTCCAGCCAAATCCAAGGAGGCTGAGCGAACGTTTCATATAATAAACGTGTTGTCGCGGTTGGCAACATTCACGCTAACTGAGAAGAGGAGTCTGCTCTGTTTGATTTGAGCACCATGAGAACCGGGGAAACCCGCTGTAGGAGGGGAAGGCTGAGACTGCGTGTGAGAAATGCTCCTAAGAGCTGCAAAGCAGGCTGCTTATCTGAGCAGCTGATAGTTGTGCCTCTGCCCGTTACTGGGTGTGCTGTTCCCAACGTTCCCACAGTGACTTGGCACAAACACAATGGGTTTCTCTTCCTGTGATCTCAGCTTCAAGCAGCGGAGACTGCTGTGCAGAGGGAGTGGGCCCTTCCCAGTGAAAGTTCTGCAGCCCGAAAACAACGCGGTCTAATTTAGGTGTCTCTCCTTTGGCAAAGGTTACTTTTCTAAGGTGACCAGCTTGTCTCTCACAGCCAGTAGCGGTGGCCTGAGGGATTGGTTCATATGAAACAGGGGTAGAGTGGTAGAGGCTCAGAACATTCATCACAGATGACAAGGACCTTCCCTGGGCTCTGTGTTCACACACCCAACAGACCTGGGCTTGGGTCTGACAGTCCACGACAGAGTCCATATGTCCACCTCTTAGAAGCCCCGTGGCTTGCAGCCTATCTGGAATGTCTACCCACTGGGCACACCTTATATGCTTGATAGTAGAAACAAATATTTCCCTAAAAGCCATTCTCTCGTCCTAGAATTAAAATGGCTCATTATCCATCAACCTAAAGARTTTTTGCACAGTATATATGTAGATGTGGGTTGCAAGTTCATGACTTACCCAAGGGGATAGACCCAGAAAGATGACTCTTTTTTAACACAGTACTCAGTTCAAATCATACCATGTCTATAAAACCATGCATTGATAACCAAGAGATGGACCTATCTTCCAACCATTCAGAGCAGCTCTCTGAATAATTTAGTATTTCTCTGTCTGCAGCTGTTAAGACATCTGAATGCTCTCTGTGTGTACAAGGCACCGATAAGACAACAACAAGATACGTAAGAAACAAAATGGGAACGCTATTATATATATATATCTGAAAGAGATTTAGATCACCTCATTGTGACTTACTTTTCCCATTACACCATTAGTCAGACTTGCATAAATGGGCCTGGAAAGACAAAAACATTCTCTCCAGTGACAGGATGATATTATTGCCATCAGCAGCGCAGCCTGGTGGCTCACAAGAGCTGTGCTAAATGTTCACTGAGACCTCTCCCCAAAGCCAGGGACCCCACACTGGGAAAAATCAGGRCCCGTCAGATTTTCTGAGGTAACTAGGTTATTACATTGCTGCTATCCTGGACCCCTGATTAAAGTTGATGCTTTTTCTATGTGATGGAACGTATCCTAAGTGGGGATGTATATATTTAAGGAATTTTAAGTCACACAGACATATGGATAACTGATATACATAGAGCACATTGATGGGTCATGTCCTTTCTTATTAGTGTATACTAATTATACAGAATAGTGGGTTCCGTYGTATCATGTTTGCATAGGCATTCACATAGTTTGATCATTTGTCTTGTACTTTTTCATTTATAGTTTGAACTCTGGGAAAACTTTTGAATGGCAGCCACCCCAAATAATTTTTRATCATTAATCAGAAATTTCTCAATAGTAAGTGACTTTGAATCTTTTAATACTTCAGGAAAAAAAAAACAACAACATGAACTCCATCAGTGTATCTCACGTTGCTATAAATATAAATGTACATATATTTGAATGGTTATTTGCCTTGTTTTACACCTAGACTACTTCCTCATTATAGGCAAAGGGCATTCGTAACTGCTCAGGGGATCATAGGAACCCAACTGAAACTGGATTTTTGTACCAAGTTATACCAAGTTTGTACCAGTTGTGGCAAGGCACACCTCTGTTAGTAACCTCTCTGAGCTTGGTTCACAGAGGTTCTCCAAACGGGCAGATTTCAAGTAACCCGAGTGCTGTGTTCTTATGAACTTGTAGTAAAGGTAGAAGAAAATGTCTATGCTGTTTCCTYGGCAAAATTAAAGGGATTTGTCTTCTCACAGACATTTTATAACAGAATTAGCTGCTTTTTTTTTTTTTTCCTTTGCCAGGGCTAGGCAAGGGGGGCGGGGGGTGTTTGTTAAACTGATTTTAAATAAATGGATTTAATATTTTTTAATGTTGTAAAGTGCCTGAAAAAAAAAATGGTGACTGAAAATGCGTGTGAGTCGCCAGAATCCACAGGAACAGGTGGGGAGTTTGAACCCACATGTGTCTCTGGTGCGACCAGGGGCACAGAGCCAGCCAAGCCAGAGACCTCGTTTACACAGGAGAGAGCTGGTGGCCTGGGTGTGGGAGGCTGATGCCATCCTGTCCGGTAATCGGCCAGGGACGGAGTATGTACAGCTTGTCCCCTTCTTTCAGCTCTGTCTTACTTGCCCTGGTGATTCTGTTTTAGGRAAAACGCCTGCATCTACCTAAGACTGTTTGGATGTTGTGACAAAGATCTCCTTGTGTCTGGAGTAGTGCAGTCCATTTGAAATAGAATTCAAAAACCCTCCACCAAATTGCAATCTGGTGTAATAAGCCCCCATCCAGAAATGCCACCAGCTCTTGCGACACACCATCTAGCTGTTGTGGCCCCTTCTAGGAATCTTTTTTCATGTTATTGGGTAGGGAGGAGGAGGAAAGCTGACTGAGAGCCAGTGTTAGAATCTTAGGCATCCTATTTGTTCATGCCCCAGGTATTTGCTTTGGACTTGAAATCTGTACTCTGAAAGCAGCCTTTGAAAAACAAATAATTCACAGTGTGAGTTTTCTTGGAGCCTGCATCACACAAATCTTATCTATCCAGGTTTGAAAATCTACAGTGTGTTTATTTCAATGTAAATCGAGGGGAACCCTAAGTTTTCTCTGAAAATTATTCAGAATCTAAATATGTATTTCCTTATCCTTCCCAACTCAGTGCTCCTGAATGACCTCTCTTTCTGTTCATGAATAGATGCCTTTATGTGCATAGAATCCGTGTCTGTGTGCAGCTTGAAGGACAATTTCAGAAATGCCTTAGGTGACTGACATTTGATAAAGCCGCCAGAATTGATACCTCTAGGCTATTATATCTCCTGTCGATTCCAGACCCAGAAAGTTTGTTATGTGCTTTAAAAATTGTATTAGATTTTTCTAATTCTTTGGGAGGAAAATAACTGTTTTAGTTTCTCTGACCCCAATAAATGTGAGCAGGAAATCAAGTGTGTTAACCTGTGTGGTGCTGGATGATTCTAGACGTTCAGTTTTATCCTCTGAGAACCAACCAAATCACTGTCAAACCTAGGTTCAGAATTTGCAAGAAGTACCAGAATGTGCAACCCCATCCATGGGAATGAGCCTYGCCACTTTGCTGCTTAAAAGAAAGGGAGGCGAGGTAATGGCTTCACTTGTTGCAGACTTTCTTATTCGGGGAGGGAAGGGGTGCCACACTTCCAGTGCACAGGAATYGATCGTTATTTAGAAATAGAACTAACAGTATATGCCTTTAATCATTCTGATTCAAAATAAAATGCTGCCTGGTGTCAAAGTCACTGGTCTTACAAATAACTTAGGGTTGGGCTAAGGTTAAGATGAGTTCCATCCTTCCGAAAGCCTGTCAGAAGCCTGTGTTTCCTTGTTAAGAGTTTTAGAGGAAGGACTTAACATGAGTGTGGGAGGGCCACTTCCCTGGGATCAGTATTCAAGGCAGACCTGGTCTTGGGTTGAGTGCCAGAAGCTGGGGAACAGCTAGAACTTGGGTTTCTCTCAAACTGAAAGCTCACTGTGCTGGGGTGATTGCCTTTTCATTGGATAGAAGAGTGCCCTCAAAGGGTATCTGAGCTCAAGGGTCTACYGTTGACTCATAATTCAGATTTCATTGTCATTGTTTTGGAGAAATCAATAAGATCATATAAAAAACACTTTTGGGTTATGGTTTCTTAATTTTCTTAATCATCTCCTAGAATGTCAACAGTATTTCATTTTCAAAGTGTGCTTACTGTTTGCCGAGCCTGAATTTGCATTCCCAAAGAAATATTGAATGAACTATTTTATATAGCAGTGATTTTAATCAATGCCCTAACCAGCAAACTCATTTGCAACGTAAATTATGAATCTAGCGAATCTGGAGGAGAATTATAATTAGGTTTTTCTGTAATTCAATTATTTTAATTTGTTAGATAAAAAATCTGTTTTTTTTCTTTAGACCCTAAAGATTATACCCAACTCTACAGCATGAGAAAGAAATGMATTTCTTCAAATAATTTGTAAATAGCAATTATAATGCTTTATTTATATAAACTATTTAAAGAATTTTTGAGAATGATCCTGTCAGATAAGGAAGCAGASGTTAGATCCATTGCGCAGAGAAAGCGATGGTTCAGGGATTAACGTTTTGCCAAGGGTCATACAGTGCCCATCACCTATCAGTAATGTCAAGTCTGTCTCCACACTCAGGTCTGTGAGTTCTGTACACCCCCCTCAATTATCTGCCCCAATGGAGATAGAGGTAGGAATCCTTTCTATTTCAAATCATCATTGAGAGTGTGTGTTTGGGGGTGTGTGACAGTATGCCAGGGCAGACAGGACCCCCTGGGGCTCGGCTAGGGGATGAGGAGGATTCACTAGAGAAATAACAAGGCCCTGCACGTCTGACTTCCCAATATCAGAAGCACAACAGCCGGYGAATCCGTGAACTTCAGAAGGCAACGTGCCCATCTTTCCCCAGTGGAGTGTGTTCCCACGGTGCCTTTTGATGTTTCCAATCCAGACTCAAAGCCATTGTCGACCAGGTCCAAAGCCTGTCCTRGTAACTTCTCCATCTGGACTCAAACATGTACTTGTGGCCTATCATTAAATAAATCAACGGGCTGTTTTGAAAGCTAGAGATGGGGCTCTGGATAATGAACTTGCTGGATGCATTTATGATGTGTGTGAACAAGCTGTGCTTTGAATTCCATTTTCTGCCTTTGTGACTCTCAATTTTATCAGGATCCCATTTATTCTCTTTTGTCTTTTTCGAATGCTAGAGCCAGAATCCAGGCTTTTGATGAGGAGGAAATCAGCCTCATATTAGACCTTTATCTTGTACTTCCTTAATGACCTGGCATGATTTGAGGTGGTGTATTTTCTCTGGGGGCTGAGTGGACAGGTGGTTAACATTGATACTATTGGACATGTTCGAATAAAATGGACAGATGGATTTTCTTCCCCCATGCCCCTTCCTGGTACTGAGGATTGAAYCCAGGGCCTGGTGCAGGTATCTAATTTTGGTTTTCTGGAAGTAAATTATGAGATTTTTGACTCTGGATTAGCCAGTGCTTACATTTTGAACCCAGGCCAATTTGTTTAACTAAAAAGCAAATAAATTTAAAAATTCACACACAGCTCTGCCTTGTGTACCCTGAGTTCCAGCCTGGTCCTGGGACTTCAGCACCACAGCGGCACGTGAACAGGTGTTGGGAGAGGGCTGGCAAATCTGGAGTCACCTCAGGTACAGAACAAGGGTGCAGGGTTGTCTTCTGACCTCCCTGTCCTCTGCCACTCCAGGGGGTGCAGAGTTGGAAGCAGATGCCCGGACTTGCAGTGGGCTGGTTTCTGATCCAGGCCCGGCTCAGTTCTTGGCTGGGGTGTGGTCCAGTCATTTTCCATAGTGAGATTTCATCCCTCCTTCAGGTCAAGTCAGGAAGTCTGGATGAAATCCCGAGTGTCAAAGTGTGTCCAAGTGTTTGTTAGGGAGATGAGAGGAGCAGGAGCCTTTGTGTCTCGTGGACTTGTGGCTGCCAGTGTGGCGAGTTTCTAGCCAGTGTCCCCAAAGGAGCCGAGAGGTGGAAACTGGGGGATTGAAATACTGCTCAAGCTTAAGAATGTTCGTGGAGGGAGGAACAACACCCTCAAGTAAATGTTTTGTCTTTGTACAAAAATTCCTTCGTGTATTTTTTTCCACAAAGAAATATTTCACAAAATAAAGCTCTCTAATTTTATGCTTGATTAAAATGAAGCAGATATGTGGAAAAAAATATAGAATTGATATCAACACAATGATCTTTGGAGGGAAAGTTTATTTGTTGTGAAAGCTTGCATTTACACAGTGCCTCGTGCTGTGCAAAGTACTTTCAAACTTGTCTCCTTTTGCTCTTCTGGTTACTCTAAAAGGTAGATATTAATATACCTGCCCCTGCCCCTAATTCACAGATGGGAGAGGAGACTCAGGGCTTAGGTGATGTGGCACAAGGTCATAGAGCAGGTCGGTGCCAAAGCTAGAACTTGACCTTACATCTTGAAAAAGCCAGCCCAGGACCTCTTAGTATTGTTTAAAAATTTTAAAAGCAACTTAAAACAGTGCCATTGTTGACTTCAATTTCTCTAGGTCAGGAATCTGCTGGGTGTAACTGGGTTCTCTGCTGGGAGTCTCCCTGAGCAAGATCCTGGAGTTGAAGATCAAGGTGTTGCCTGGGGCCATGGTCTCCTCAGGGCCTTGGGGCCTCTCTCAGCTCACACTGGGAGAATTCAGTTCTTCCTGGTGGCTTCCTTCCACGTGGCCCCTCCATCTTGAGGCCCGCCAGGCTCACCAAGTGACTTCCTCTTCTGACACACCCCTGACCCTCATCATTTCACGTTTTTCGATGGCTAGGAGAGCACACTTACTTTTCTTGTTTTCTAAAGGCGTTTTAAGAGTTTCCCTGCCCTGTGAAGGCACACAGTCCGCTTGACAAAAGTCACAAACTCGGAAGAACCTGACAAGGAACTTTTGATTTAAAGTCACTGTTGAGCCTGGAGCAGCCAAGGCGTCAGCAGCCCTGGTGAAGCCAGATTTAAAGTTAGGTAGTCAGTGTAGTTAGGTAAATCGGGTCTAATACCGAGTGAAATCTAAAATGGAGGCCATGCTGGGAATGACTCAGGGAAAACACAGGAGGACTCATGGAATGTTAATGAAGTCCCAAAGAGGCCCTAGGCCAAAGTCCACCTGGAAGAAGTATTAATGAATAGCCCCCAGCAGATTTGGAGATAGTCCATCACCAAGAAGTGATAATGAAGTCCTTCCTGCTCAGACCACTTCTTTGGCCCACCTGTGTCCCACCCCTCGGGCCTTCCAACCTACATTCCATCACTGAAAGAACTATAAAAAGGGGAGACAACTGCACTTCCACGGATTCCACCCTTTGGGTCCCCTTCTTCCTCCGGGAGAAGTCTTTTCTGCTGTCCTTTAATAAACTTCTAATTTCTACTCTGACCTTGCCTCGGCGTGCTTCTTTGGTGTTATTCTTCAACATCGGGGAGCAAGAACTCGTCACCGGTCAACAGCGGTAACACTGGGAAGTCCGCCTGTCTTTCTGTCTTGAGTGGGATGGATTTTCCCAAATGGATTTAGAAAACCTGGTTGCATCTCCCTAACAAAACTTTAGAAGACTCAGGACTGGTTAGAATCTGGTGCTGGATTCAGGAAGGACAAGTTCTTTCCCAAGCTGACCCTCCAGGGTACAGGACGGCCTTTCCACTCAATCCCACCAATAAAGTAG